CAGGGGTACACACCCGGGGGGATCAGTTGTCTGCCACTGGGTAATGGAAACCCTTGGATAAGTATTTTTTTTTCAGCTTTAGTGAGACATAGGTAACATATAATGTCATATAAGTTTAAAGTGTACAATGTGACAATTTGATATATGGACATATTGAGAAATGATTGCCACAGTAAGGTTAATTAACACATCTATAACTTCACATGATTGCCATTTTGTTGTTGTTGCTGAGACATTTAAGGCTGTGTTGTGGTAAAACCATTTAAGATCTACTCTCTTAGCTGGTTTCAAGTTTACGATACAGTGTTGTTAACTATCGTCACCATGCCATGCCCTGAATAGATATGACAGAGAAGAATGTGGGAAAGTAGGATGGGGTGAAAGGTTTCATTTTAGATAGGGCTTTAGGGAAAGCATCTCTAAAAAGGTGTTCCGTCCTGAAAGATAAGGAGACAGTCAAGCAAAGAGCCACATCCAGGGTTGGGCCTATAAGGTATACTGGCCTGAATGCCAGAGAGACTGGCATATTCTAGAAACTTGTAGAAGGCTGGTGTGGCTGAGCACTGATGGAGGGTGAGTAGGACCTGTGAATGAGATTGGCAGGTTTGTGTGGTCCCAACGTGTCCCTCCTATATTGCCAGTGTGTCCATGGGAGAGGGACACCGGAGGGGTTTTCTTCTGCCTGAGCCTGCTCAGACCTCTTCATTTCCTAGGCCTAACCTCATGGCCCTCTCTCACAGAATAGGTGGGAAGTATAGTGTATCCAGGAACGAGCGGTGTGAAATGGGATTTGAGAAACATAGTATTACCTCTACCACGAGCAATTAAAAGTTATGAACTAATGGATCTATCCCAATGAAGATAGATCTTTACAACATGGTTTTAAATTAAAAAAGGCAGGATAGGAAGGAATGAGACCTAAGGGGAAATACATGTATAAATTAAAACATGTACATACCAATTTGCTGCATATTCTTCCAGGATCTATCTGTATCTATGAACATTTATTAAACCTATTTAAATGTCTACCAATTGTGCATATATGTGTGTAGGGGAAGGTTAGAATGATAGTGGAAGTCAGGATAAAGGGAAAAAAAAATCAAACAAGAGAGAGGCCCTAACAGTGATGATGATGACAGTAAGTCATGAACTGAGGTTCATCCTCCAGCCAAATGACTCTAGCTGAGGACAGAACATGGAAAAGTGAGAGAAGGTAAGCAGAAATTGCAGGTAGGTGACCCTAGCAACAGAAGATGAGATAGATGCATATTTGAATGTAGGCAGGGCAGTGAGAGTGCAAGAGGGCAGCTGTCACAGATGGTGCATGTAGTAGGACAAAGAGGTAGCTGATGTAGAGGCTGAAGGTAAGCAGGCGACCAGAGTGGGGTTTGTGTGTGAGAGGGGGGATAAGTGAGTCTTTATATGCTGAGGGATAGGAGGTAGGGATGAAGCCAGGGTTGTGAGGAAAGAAGGGATAATAGATGAACTAAGGATCCTCGTTGGTTATTTTGGTTAAAAGATTAGCCAAATTATATTGTTATTCATCAGACTTTAGCTGTGACATATAGAAAGAGGTCACAGATGGGTACTAAGCTACAGAGAAGGAAGATACTTTGTGGAGTGCAATAGACATGTATGTATGAGAAGAGATCTTGAGCTGGGAGAGGACTTCTTAAATATGATCTACAACGTGCTAACCATAAGGCAAAAGACTGATAAATTTGTCTACATCAAAATAAAGGTTCCCTAACTTCCGTGTGTGCAGGAACCACATGGAGGGCATCTTAAAAACACAGATGGCCAGAGATGCTAATGCAGTAGGCCAAACTATATAAATTTACAATGAAATAAATTTTAAAAGGTAATACTTACAGCACATGATAATCATTTTACATTTTACTATCATAAAATGCGTTCTTGAGGTTATTTTTACCTGTTATATTCATATTTAGATAATACGTGTGGTGCTGTGCTACTGTGCATCTCTTTCCAGCTCATGTTGGCATACTGAAATAAGCCATATGGGAGTATTTATACCAGGGAAATTGGGAAAGGCTACAAATCAGCACCCTTCTCCCTCTTCTTTGAAGAATTGATTTATACATATTTATCAGCACACGACTGAATTTGGTCTCTAAAGAAATCAGAAGTGGTTTCAGCAGTGAGGAAAATCAAAGCATGAGCTATCTGAAGGGCAGAGAAAACTTTGTATATGCATAGCCTAAGCATTTTTTAGTGTTGGCATAGTACAGCAAGGGTGGTGTGGCATCTTGACCCAATCTTTTTGCACCCCTTCACCCTCTAAATTCCTTCAAAACCTTGCCGGGATGGTTGTAGCCCAAAGCAGAAATGACAGGAAGCAACTTTGGGGAAGGTTCCCAATTCTCCCTTGAAATGGCAATCAAATATTTTCTCTTGCTGAGAGATGAGATTAGTCAATGGTGCCATCTAGTGTCGAAGAACAGATTGGCTCCATAGAGGAGTACTTAACGATTTCTCTTGATTTAGGCCCTGGAAACATATTAACTTTAATGTTTCTTCTTCCTTTCCTCTATTCTCTTTCCTCGCTTCCATGTTCCTACCTTCTGAGTCATTTTCTTTTTCCACCCACTCCCCCAACAAGAATAGCCATTTTTTTTTTGAAAGAACTCCATGTAGCTCCCAGGCAAAAATAAATAATGCCAAGAGTGGAATGACATAGATATGCAAATCAGTAGTTGCCTATAGTGTTTAATTTGAAGCAAATTTTTTTAGGGGAGTTGAAGAAATTGTTTCTTGTGGGTCACATAAATCAAATGTTCTCCGCCTTCCCAACATGCCTCATCTCCTTCCCATTTCCTGGGACAGGGGCATGTGAAGTAGGGTGTTGTAGTGCATATAACAAATACATTCTCAAGTCTAATTTTTGCTTTATAGATATTTTCGTAGAAAAAATGGTAGAAGTCCTGTTCATAACTTCCCAGTGAATGGGCTATTTCATTACTTTATGAAGACTTATGTTAAGTCATTTATTTGAAGCAAAAGTAATTATATATGTTTGAGTTCTCATAGCTGGAGAGTCCTCTAGAAATTGGAGGATTCTGGGATTGCTAATTCCTGCTACAAAGGTTTACTTTGCATGTAACACTTTGGAGAAGTAATATGGTAGCTTCTCAGTAAGAGTACTTCCCTTTTGTCTCTTTAGTGATTGATGGTCTGAGCAAAATTAAATAACATTTAACTAGTTGACTCAAAGTTGTTCCATTCTGATAGTTTCTATCTTTACATTAAGAACTAGCCTGTAAATTCAGGGATATTTCAGATGTTATCACACAAAACCACTAAGGAATAAATATCATACATCTCTGTAACATGTGTAGCAGGAACAGCCTGATTGCTGTAGCAAGTCATTCTGAAGTGTTTGGAAGTAGAAGTGAAGGTAATGTTACAACTATAGATACCAGATCCAGATTTGGGATCTTTTCCCAGGATACTTTTTCAGTGTTTTCAAAATAAAAGTAGTTTAGAAATCTCGAGACCACCAGGCTATACACATGCAAGGTTTCATTTTAGTTTGAGCGCCTAAGGTTTTAACAAGTTGACTGCTATTAGTATAAGCAAGACTTTATCAATAGCCTTTCAGTGCTCACCCTCTTATACAGGATGGCAGCAATTTTGCCTTAGAAAATGAGTCTAAATGACTCTAGAGGCTATAAACTATTTTTGTTTAAAGTAGGAATTGAGAATCCTATTAGGAAAATTCAATTTTGCCCACATGTGGATCAAACTATTAAATATAATAGGCCTGGGTGTATTTCCATGTTCTTAGATGCTCTATAAACATTTCAACTTAACAGTGACAAACTTAAAACCCTGTGGCATATTTTCATTAGACCCTGGAAAGCTTTTAAAAGTTCATATTGTACTAAAGATAGACCTGAATCCTGTGTGATCTCAAATTACCGCCTGACCCTTAGAAAGGGTCCACTACTTGGGATGACATTCTCATTTCCCCATCTAAAGCCTCAGAACCATTGCATCCTGGCTTTCCTAACTGTTCACTGGAGAAGTTAATGGTCCAGGTTTCCTTTTCTTATCAGTCTGTTGTAAACAAAGAAATCGAATTGCAAAACCTTCAATAACTTCTATGGTTTTAAATACATCTCAAGCTTTGAACTGTGCATTTCAAATTTCTTTTACTCAGATGCACCATCTGATTTTTGACTGCTGCAATAGACAAGTAAAACTTGGTTCTCTGTAGGTCTTCCATTACCATCCTTCTCTTAAAATGTTTCTTTTGAGATTCTTAATGAAACTTGAAATAAGCCTTGACGTGGGCATGCTTCTATTTCCGTAGAATAAAAGCTGTTAAACATCATAGTATTGACAAAGTTCCACTTACTAGCTCTTTGGCAGGTCTGTGGAATAGAAATGGCTACTTCTGTAACTTTGAAGCATTATAACATTATGAAGTAGTGTTTGAGATTGCATTTAGTTTTAGTGCTACTTTATTGTATTCTTAAATCTCTGGACCTTGATAACCCAGATGGTGCATTTAGAGAACTTTCACGAAATTCTAACTGCTCAAGAGAGAAAATTAATATCCAAGCGACTGCTGTTTTACCAAATAACTCAGCAGCTTATTTAATTTGTTCTGAAGGAGCCATGAGCACTTATTTTGGGGGAATTTCATTCCGTCCTCAGTAACATCCCCATCAACCTTGTAGTCTGATGTACTCAGACCTTCTGCAGTAGTAACTGAATGTGTCCCTTAGGAACAACTGCTTTAGAGACTTCACAGATGAGGATTCTGAGGCACAAATTAGGATCCAGGTCTTTCGAGCTCAGTTGAGAGTTCTCCTCACTATAGCAAGCTAAATTTTAAGGAATGAGACTCTTTCATAAAAGACTCCCAAGTCTAAGATAATCCTTTAAGGCAGCTTCAATTAAAGGCTGCATTGTCTGCTTCTGAATACAACAGATCCGCCACTCCCACAGTCAAGAACGACTAGAACACAGACTTAAAAACCAAGCCATTTAATTGTGTCTTTGAAGGTAAACAATACATGAAGCTGGATGCCAAGCCCTGAGAATGCCAGAGCTACGGGTTCAAAAGTCCCATGGTGCTGTATTCTCAACGTTGTTCAGAAGGGTCAGAACTTCAGTGTTCCGAGGCAGAGCACTTTTGGAATTCATGCATTCCATTTAGCAATTCTGCAAACTGCCAGAAACAGACCCTAAGAGTCTTGAGATGGAGAAAATTCAACTCCTGGTTTTACAGATAAAAGAACGAAGAGTACCAAAAATGTTATGTTTACTCTTCTTCACTTTTCTCACACAATCTGAAGCCTAAGCTGTCACATTCCCAACTCATAGCAGCCTAAACTGCAGTTTAGGTACGAGATCCATCCCTCTATCCATTTACGTCCACGTAATGCCATAGCAAGAGTGACCAGTGGCAGAGAGCTCTCATCAATGCAGCTTTTAACAAGCACTTAAAATGAAAAGAACCCTCTGGCGGCACACTGAGTTAGTTTATAAGATTTTAATTTACAAATTAAAAAGCAACATGTTTTATTTTTTCTCCTTTTTCTCTTCTTTCTTTACATCACTCTTTTCCTTATCTTTCTCTTTGTCATCTTTTCTATCCTTTTTGCTCTCTTCTTTTTCCTGCCCTTCTTTCTTCTCTGCATCCCGGTTGGCAATCTTGTTGTTGATGAGGTTGTGTAGGGCGACCACAGAACGGATCAGGGAGGCCAAATACACCACTACCATCTGGTCATTGGTCTTCAGGTAAAAAGCTTTGACAAATTCCTGCAGGCTCACGTCTGGCAGCAAGTTGAAGACGTCCTGTAGCTGGTAGATGATCTGGTGGTTGATGGGCAGCTTTCCTGTGGCCACCTTCTCCAAGTAGCTCCTGATATCCAGAAGCTTGGAGTTCAGTCCCTTCAAACCATGGACCTGGTTTGTGATCCGCTGAGAAAGAGTGCCCACGGTAGTGTCTTTGATGTCTCTGTAAGAATCCAGAAGGGCGGGCAGGAAAAAGCATCAGTGTACTTACTGTATCATTACTGTATCATCACACAGATTCTTACATTCTAAGGAAACACCCAGCTTTGCAGAGAGGGGCAAGTTTTCAAAAGAAAAAATATTACTTCTCTATTTTACAAAGATCTGAGTATAAATTGTCTTAATTTTGTTTTCACTGAGAGACATGTACTTCATTTTTCTCATCACAGGCATTTTTTTTTTAAAGCTAAAATGAAACTATTTTCACTTAAAATAAAAGCTCTCTCTTTCAACTTCCTTGTTCCTAAAAAAGGGTGGCATTTTCTCCACCTGCATCTATACGATATTGTGAGTCAGTAGTAACTTTTGAACTGGAAAGAATCTTATTGTTTGAGAAACACTATGACCCTTTTGAATGTAACAGGGTTATAAAAGCAGAGTACTTTCAACTGAAACCCATCCAAAGAAGTAGATTCTCTGCAGAAAACTGGCTAGCTACATTCACTGAAAAAGACATACAGTAGAAAAGGACATGCCTAAACTTCTTTTACATGTCTGTTCCTGTCACAGTCAGCGTTAGTTTGCAGACAAGGTATACTATTCACAAAGTCATAAAGCGTAACTCAACTTTAGAGGTGATCCAAGCTTAGAACCCAGGTCTCTATATTCCTGCTATTGATATCTTCCTACTCCGAGCAGCCTCTTGGACACTTATGACTCTGATGCCATCCTAAGTCTCACCGTAACAAGTGTTCGACTCCAACTTCCTCAGCTTCCTCTGCTCCAATTTCACTGGTCACATGCTCAAATGTTTTTGAAGTTGGCGTTCCATCCTGGAGAGGAAGCTTAACTGTAGTTATTTATTTATAAACAAACTGGAACATGTTCCTTTTCACACCTTGATTCTTCTGCTTTAAGTCTAATCACTTCATGGGTGCATTACTAGGTTTTCCAAGGCAAGGGGAGGGGGTAGGTTTAGTCTTCTCTTCTAGGCTAATTATCACAGTGGCCTTGCTCAGTGACAAGGTTTGCTGGGGCATCACTAGCTCACTTGTGAGGAAAATCTTGATATCCTCTCAATCCCACAGTGGGGACTGATTAGGAAGTCTTTATTAGGTTGACTTTTAAAGTACATAGTTCTTTCCAGGAAAGATAATATAAAGAATACCTGTATTTGAGACAAGCTCATGTCAGAAAATATAACTTTTAAGCATCCATTGTTCCTTGGATCAAATGACACCAGAGCACCAAAATGATGCAGTAAGAACAACTGGCTTTCCAGTGGTCGAATTTATCAAAGATCCATCTGGGGATGTGGTACACTGTATCACCTAGTGATTTCCTGATGAGACTCAGGAGAAACTTCTCAGATCTACTAACAGAAGAGGATGTACATCTCCCGTAAAGGCTGCAAAATGTTTGCGAGGCAGGACAGCGTATCAGTGAGACTATAGACTCTATAGCCAGACTGCCTGGGTTCAAAGTCTGGCTCTGCCATGTGTGTGATAAAGGAGCTACAGGATCTTGGGTAAGTCACTTAATTTCTACTAAGTGGTATAAACCTCAACTGTTATTATTTCATCCAGGGCAATGTGAATCCTGCCAATGCCACTTTCCTCTTGGCTTTGTAGGCTAGGATGGTCACAACCTATGACGATCTTGGGGGACTCATGGCACAATTTTTTTAAGTACTAATTTTTCCCTGGTTTCATCTTACAAATGATCCTTATGTCTCCTCTATCTGCTATTTCAAAATCTTGCTTAACTGGTGTATGTGTATACATGCATGCATGAGTGTAAGCAGCCTTGAATTCCTTTTAGAAAGACGCAGGGTAAAGATTAACTTAAAAACTGTATCAAAACTGTATCAAGACAGGGATGAAAGCCTTATGGCAACTAGACAATAAATTTAGATCTAAGCTCCCTGGTAGCAAGGCAAAAAGAGAAAACGAGGATAGAGTTCAGTGCGAGAAACATTTGCAGGGAGCTAACCTAAAATCTTTTTTCCAGATTTAAAAACCGAGTCTAAGGATAAATACTACATATATAAATCTTAATATAGACTTTATCCTCCAGGCTTTTGACTTTGGAAATTCAAGATCAAGCTATCTGCATACCCTAAGTGTAAATATTTTATGCTCCTATCCTAGAATCAGAGTTCAATTTCCCAGGAAATAGAGAAAAGCTATATTGTGGCAGCTCTTTATGTCTTTACCCAAAGCACAAGCTAATGAACCACAAAGCAGGTACTGGATGAGGTGAAGCTGAGTGTTCAGGTGTCAAAGCACACAGATGGGTCTTGCCATCTAGCTCCAGGCAGCTCTGACATACTTTATTTGAAAACCTATGCTCTAGTCTATAGGGACTGAAAATCCTCAAGGAGAAAGGAATATTGGCCCAGAGGGGGCCCAACAGTAGAAACTGCATAAAGACTAAGCTCACTAGGCTCTACATTTACTTTGTTATGAACATCCTTGGGCAATCGCTGGACTACTTTGGGCCTCAATTTCATTTGTAAAAGGGGACTTTTGAGTTTCACAATCCTCTATTTCTAAAATGTGGCGATTCAAATACTCCAAGGAAAAAACCATAATACCAAACTGTTAACAGAAATCAATAACCTTCTCTTTGTTATAAAGGATTTGCTGACTTGGGGGAGGGAAAAAAAACCCAAACCCCAAACAATTGCTCCATAAATAGCAAATTTAATTTCCTAGGCTCATAGCAAGATGACTTACATCATGGACTTCTTCCACTGAAATATATGCTTCTGTGGGCAGTCCCAGGTCCTTTGGCTTCACGTCAATGATGACTAATACCTGGCAGAAAAATACATCTAAGCAAACCACCTCATACTGAGCACATAAGGAATAACTGCAGCCATTCTTCTGATCATGAGTATTGAAGCAATTTCATTCATTCAATCAGACATGAGTAAGAATTTTCAGCAAAATGAGTTTACATTCAAATCTCATCATTTGCTATTCTTCACTCCCATTAATTAACAAGCTGAGGAGTAGCATAGTACAGTTATCAAGCACAAAGAAATTGGAATCAAGGCAGCCAACATTTTAATCCCAGCCTCAGCATCTACAAAACTTACTAACCACTTTAAACCTCAGTTTTCTTATTGTAAAGAGGTTAACAGCTCCATATAGTCATTGAGACGATTAAGGAAGACAACTTAGGTACCTGGCACTTGGCAGGTATTTACTGTTAATTATTTAATACAGTGGGTTATTGTGTAATACACAGAACATTACCAATTAACACAAGCTTACAAAGAAAAAGCAGTGAAATGATGTGTTACCCAAATCCTTCCTAGGATGCTCTTATTTGAGTTCACTGGCAAGGAATATCATTCAAGAGTTTTAAAGATAGAGTGTACTCACTGAGTTAGGGCAGTATCTTTTCATGAGTTCATTGATGGCGATGTCATTCTTGTGTAGTTTAGGGCCTGTGTGGTACCACCCAACTATTCTTTCTCTGGCTGGGAAGGAAAAGATTGGTGGGTTTGAAGTGTTATATGAAGATCTAAGTAAGTCCCTTAAACAGCGTAAGAACTCCAGTTGTTATGTTCTCTACTTTTTTCAAAATTCAAGACAGAAAAAAAGCAGCAAGACAAAACCAGAGACATCTACATCTCAGACTAGTTTAGGAGACCAGGCATACATGATAACCAGAAAATAATTCTAAGGCAATATATAAACAAATGTGATTTCATGGCATATAGATTACAACTGTGATTATTGCAGGAATAATCATTTCCAAAGTAATGTGGTTGCTGTAATGAAATGAAATGAAAATATGTGATGGAGAGAGATATTTATCCTGGTGGTACCAGAACTCTAGGGGCAGGTGAGTTTTGATAGTTTTTCACTTTTCTGCTCTCTCCCCCAAAACCTAGGTGGTCTTAAACTGCTATTCTAGTTTCTCATTTATTCTACTTTGTTCATCTACTACTACTAGTCTTACTTACTTAAGTCTAGCTAAGGAAAGGGTCCTTTAAATACTAAGAAACGGGAATACTTAAAAAAGAAAAATATCTCACACACACACACACGTATAAATGCCACAACACCTTAAAAAATCAAGACATACCATTGACCTTTTTAAACATTCCATACATGTTTTCCAAATAATCATGGTCTAAAAACCAGACAGAGTCATCTTTGTCATCTTCATCAAAAGGTACTAAAGAGAAAAAAAAAAAGTAAGATTTAGTTTAGAGTGTTAGAACTCTAGAGCACAGGTCACAACTGAAGACCCCTAGGCTAGATCTGATCCATGTAGGTGGTTTGTTCAACACAGTAATAAAATTATTTTTGAGTTGCTCTCATTAAAAACAGAGATTTCGCATAAAAATCCAGACTTCTAGCTTCTCTTGAAAAACCAGGAGACCTGCCAACAACTGGCTAGAGCCAGACAGAAGCCGTGCCTTTTAAAAAGGACACATGCCCTTCAGTTTGCTAAAAGCCCCATTACTTCCTCATGTTTGTTTGGCAAGTTACGTTACTATCTGGTCCTTTTAAACATTGGAGTTAGTGACCTCTAGTCCAGAGGTCATGCCAGCAATTATTTTGTTCTTATTTGTTGTTGCTTTAATGACAAAATACACTGATATTTTCTTATAAAGATTCATGAAACAATCAAGGAATATGTTCTCCAACTCCCCCTTGCTAACCCATAATTACAGTTAATAGTTTAGTGCATGGGTTTACAAACTACACTATTTTTATAAAGTTTTACTAGACTACAGCCACCCATTTGTCTACGTACTGTCTATAACTGCTTTCCCACTATAATGGCAGAGCTTGGCAGCTGCAATGGAGACTGTAAGGCCTGTAAGTTTAAATCATTCACCTCCAGTTTAGTGTGTAGCCTCTAGCCTCCCTTTTTATACCACAGCAATTCTTAATTAGAATCCTTGGTTATAGTAAAAAATGGAAACCACAAAAAGTTTTTCTTTTTTTAATTTTAAAGTTAACTGAGATTTTAACCATGCTCAGAAAAATGTAAAATTGGTCTTTTACCTGCAAAACTATTGGATACATCGAGTACTTTCTTTTGCCATGATCCCAAAAGCACACCAACAACACGCTTCTGGTTTCCAACCTTGCCTATTCTGAATGAGAAAGCAGAAAGTCAATCTGATAGGCACACAGAAATGTGCCAACAATTAGATACTCAACAGGAAATATTAATGGTACAGATACAATTGAGTTTACCTGGGAACTAATCTCACTAAACAAATGTAATAGAGTTAGGTTAGTCCTTAATATTAAATTCTAATAAATATGAGTAATTCACGAACTTTCTACACTGGCAGTTTTTACTTACTGTTAACTGCAAAGTAATACAACCTTGGAGAAATCTCAAACTTAACAGAAATTTAAAAGAGAGAAAATGAAAACTCTCCTGATCATAAGAGTTTTAAAATGTTACTTGGTATTTGAAAAAAACATTCATGTTACCACCTTTATTTTTTTCTCTGCAGCTTACTTTTCTTCTTTAAACTTTCCCCATCTTCTTGATCTTTGAATCTTTTCTGGGATAAAGATGCTAAAGTAGAACCAGTTTTATGGTCCAGCTTGATACTGTTCTTTGGCACATCTATTCCACATCAACAAGCCCCACTAGATGTAATACTTCTTTGAACCAGCTAGGGGCTCAAAAAGTGATTCTGATTAAGAGGCATGTGTGTCATCTGTGGTCTCTCAATTAAAAAGAAGTCAAAAGTGAGCTGGTGACTAATCACATTGAGAGTGGGACTGAATCAGTGAGATTTTTCTTCAGAATTTCTATTTCCATATCAAACCTCAGTGATTTTGTACTAAGGAGCTATGAGTGTAGCAAGTGAGACACAGACACAATACAAGTCTATGTTCAAAGGAAATACAAAAGCCACTGTGAAATGAATTAAGATTCCAATTTCTTAAGAGTCACTGGCTTCACATTGGTTTAACTGAATTATTTATCTAAACATATGATTTGGCAAATTTATAAATGCTTACTCAATTTGTGGTTTGGGTCAAACAAACTTAAGGATTCTGTATTCCTGGTGGTTCTTTTTTGGAAGTCTTAGGCACTGAGTTTCCACACATCAAAGTAAACTTCCACACTTACTTTTCTTTTGGTTTACAAAAAACCATTTGCCTTTTATAAAACCCTACATTTGTTATCTGACACAACAGCCAGCAGTGTGTGCCTGCACTATGCCCTTAACAAGTGTTTGCTGAGTTTGCTGAATAGAACTGAAATGATGCGTGCCTTATTAGCATCCCCAGTATCCTATGGGAAAAAAACAGTAATTACTGTACAGCGGGAAAGTCTACCTACATATCCTGGTAGACTAAAGGTCTTACAAAGCAATGGAACTAAACTGGGGACCCTAGACCTTTTAGTAATTTCAAATTTGTTTTTGGCGCTCTGGTTGAAGCAGTTGTACAAAGCAAGATGCAAGAGAATGAATGAGCACTTAAAAACTATGACCCTACAGCAGATGCTCCCAACCGGGTCTTTATATTTGCCAATTCAAGTAATTAGCTTGTAAAATCTATGAACACGTGTAACAGGTCCAGCAGGATGAACAGCTTGAAAAGAAGCAAGGGGAGGCGGAATAACCATCTGTGGATGTTTTCTTATCTAATTCTTTTATGCCAAAGTCTATAACTGATTTCACTTTTAAGAGAAAAACTTGACACCTCATCTGCTTTTTAATTTATCGTTAAGCCAAATTCCAGCTTAGAAACTTTCACAAGTTAAAACCACAGCTCTTCCAGGGAGCCCTTTAGGGCGCTGAGACCAGAATTTCAGTCACGGCTTTTAGATGCACAAAAGCGCCAGCTTGAAGAGCTTTCCTAGGAAACACTGAGTCTTTCAAGGTGAAAAGGGGCAGAAAAAGTGACAGATAGGCACGAGGCCTGGGGGACCATAGATAACTGAAGGCTGACCCCCATAATCTGGCAGCGTACAGACTTGGATAAAAGAAACGAGCAGACCAGCACCCAGAGTGCCGGCTAGAGCCAGGGTACGATGCTGGGTGACTCGAGCTTCCTAGAATCGCGGATGGTCTGGAGCCCTCGGCAAGGTAGAGCCGCCCTCCGCCCATCAGTGCTCCAGCGGCCGCTGCGCCTTCCCCAGAGTGCCCGTGACTCAGCAGCGACGGTGCCGCCAGCCACACTAGGCCGCCCCGCGCCGCCCGCTCACCGGTTGAAATGATCCACCACACTGAGCAGCACCAGGGGGTGGACCACCACCTTCTGCACCGCCAGCTCCGGCATCGCGAGACACCCCACCCGCTAGGGTCCGCTTCCTGCGACCCGCAAACACAAGTGGCCCCAGCGGCAAGGACTCTTGCAGATCCTCCAGGCCCAGCTCCACCTCTTCCGGCTCGACCGCCGCCGCGCGGCCCCCTGCTTCCGCTCCCAGAATGCCGCGCGCGTAGTTCCCGGGCTGTCGCTCCTGCCGCCAGGCTGAGGAGGGGAAGTGCCGGAGGAAGGCGGGACATGCTTTAGGTGACTGGCTACGAGTTTCCCTGGTCTTGAAAGCTAAAGGGACACTGAAGACTGATAAAGGTTGACTTCTTGGTATTTGGCGTGCACCGTTCTCTGCAGCGGCGTTTCGCCTCGGTGCCCTCTCAGCTCCCTCTCAGCTCCCTCGCCCCTTATCTGAAGACTAGGAAAAAATACAAAGAAAAAATATAAATAGTAGTAACTAATATTTCCACTGTCCAGGAAAATGTTCACTTTCGCTTAAATTCAAAATCCTCCATAACTTCTTTGAGGAACTAACTTTAAATCTCTAGCATTAGTGCGCGCCTTTATAGTAGATTTGGTAACATCTCATTTTACTGTAGGGGAATTTCCCCTTAGTCTTTACTATGGACATTTTTGCAGATAACCTGTTTTTATACTTTTCCACTTGTTTTTATATTACCATTTAGGGCTAGCTAGAAGAGCGCAGTTTGTGCCTAGAGTCAGACCATTCAGGATGCTTTTCACAGACACTTAGGGTTGGGGAAAAGGTGGAAGGCAATAAATATGTTTTGATATTTAGCTAGGAAAGAAAAAAGCTGAATGGAGAAACGTAGGAGTCAAGGACTTAAGTTTATTTTCAGAAGGAGGCAAATTACTTAAAATCCATACAAATTTATATTTGTCTAATTTTAAGTTGCTGTGTCTCTAAACAAAATACTTAAACTTGAATTATTCACTTCTTATTTTCCTGTCTTTAAACACATCTTACCTTTCCGATATTACCAGAGGATCTGACCCCTCTGAAGAATGGCCAGAGAAATTTTTTTTTTTTTTTTACACCTACAGCACCTAGTCTCCTTAGGTGGTCTCCCATCCAAGTGCTAACCAGGCCTGACCCTCCTTTGCTTCTGAGATCTGACGGGATGGGGCATGTTCAGAGTAGCATTAGACTGAGAATTTTGCATTGAATCGTATATAGCCTGCTTCCCCGTGTTGCCCTATTTTTTTTTTTTTTTTATGGAATTGAGTTGAAGTCGTGCTTGGTATTGTAGCCACTACTAGAGGTTGAGTTCATTCAGAGGAATGCAGAAGGAGATATGAGAAATCCCTTTCTTTAGTTCTTTGAATTCGGGACTTAACTTTGAAGGACTTGATGAGAGCTTAAGGGTAGTACATTTTCCTTTCCTTATTTTTTTCCTTTTTTTTTCATGTTAAATTCTTTTCTCATGGGTGGCTCCAGAGTGTTGTGGTTAGCATGTCAGCTTTACACACAAAGGTCCTTGGTTCGCGTCCCAAGTGGAGCCATGGACCATATTCTGAGTGTGCCAGGCCCTGGGTGCGCCAGGCCCCCCCAAGTGCACGTCGAGAGCGTGTGGGAGGAGATGCCCCGCAGAGATCCAGTTCTTAAGGGGAAACGGCAACATCCATAGGTCAAGGTTGGAAGTGGGTGGATGGGGGGAATTAAAGAGGGGGAAAGAAATTCTTTCCTCAGATTTATTGAGATGTAATTGACATATATCATTGTGAAGTTTAAGGTGTACACATGATAAATTGATACACATTTATATTGTGAAATGATTACCACAGTAAGGTTAGTTAACACTTCTATCAGTTAACATAATTGCCATTTCTTTTTGTGGTGAGAACATTTAAGATCTACTCGCTTATCAACTTTCATGTATATAATACAATATTGTTAACTTCAGTCACCATATTGTATATTAGAGCCCCAGCTTACAACTGGAAGCTTTTACTTTTTGACCATCGCCCTGTTCCCCCCACCCCCAGCCTCTGGCAACCACTGTTATGTTTTCATGAGTTTGACAATTTTTTTTTGATTCCATATATAAGTGAGATCATGCAGTATTTGTATCTTTCTGCCTCATTTATTTCACTTAGCATAATGCCTTCAAGGTTCATCTATGTTGTCACAAATGGTAGAGTTTCTTTCTTTTTATGACATTATTTCACTATATATGTATATTGAATTATATATCACATTTTCTGTTTATTTCTCAGGGGCCATATAGGTTGTATACATGTCTTGGGCATTGCGAATATTGTTACAATGAACATGAGGGGGTGCAGACATCTCTTTGAGATGCTGATTTCATTTCCTTTGGCTATATACCCAGAAGAAGAGTTGCTGGATCATATGGTAGTTCTATTTTTAGTTTTTTTGAGGAATCTTCATGCCTTTTCCCATAGTGGCTGTACCCATTTATTCCCATCAGCAGTGCACAAGGGTTCCCTTTTCTCCACATCCTTGCCAACACTTGTTATATCTTTGATACTAGCCATCCTAACAGGTGTGAGGTAATATATCATTGTGGTTTCAATTTGTATTTCCTTGCTGATTAGTGATGTTGAGCATTTTTTCATGTACCTGTTGGCCATTTTTATGTCTTCTTTGGAAAAACATTCTGGTCCGCTGCCCATTTTTTAATTAGATTTTTTTTTTTTGCTGTTGAGTTGTATGAATTCTTTATATATTTTGGATATTACATCCTGATTAGATACATGGTTAGCAGTTTTTTTTCTCCCATTATATAGTTTGTATTTTCATTTCGTCGGTCATTTATTTTGCTGTGCAGAAACTAATTTGAGGTAGTCACACTTGTTTGTGTTTTACTTTTGTTGCTTACACTTCTGGTGTCATATACAAAAAATTGTTGCCAAGACCAATGTAAAGGAGTTATTTCCCCTATATTTTCATCTAGGAGTTTTACAGTTTCAGGTCTAACATTAAACTCTTTAATCCTATTCAAGTTAATTTTTGTGTGATGTAAGATAAGGGTCCAATTTCTTTTGTTTACATGTGGCTGTCCAGTATTCCCAACACCATTTATTGAATATTCTTGGCTCTCTTCTCAAATATTAGTTGACCATGTATGTGTGGGTTTATTTTTGGTCTCTGTATTCTGTTCCATTGGTCTGTGTGTCTGTTTTTATGCCAGCACTCTGCTATTTTGATTACTGTGGCTTTGTAATAAAGTTTGAAATCAAGAAGTTTGATGCCTCCAGCATTGATGATCTTGCTTAAGAATGCTTTGGCTATTTTGGGTCTTTGTGGTTCTACACAGGTTTTAGGATTTTTTTTTTCTATTTCTGTTGACATCGCCATTTTTTTCTATTTCTATTGAAATTGCCATTTATAGAGATTGCATTGAATCTATAGATGGCTTTGGGTAGTGTGGACATTTTAACAATATTCTTCCAATCCATGAATATGGAATATCTTTTCATTTATTTGTCTTCTTCAGTCTCTTTAATCAGTGTTTTATAATTTTTAGTGTAAGATCTTTCACCTCCTTGGCTGTTTATTTCTAAGTATTTTATTGTTTTTGATGCTGTTATAAATAAGATTATTTTCTTTATTTCTTTTTCAGATATTTCCTTGTTGGCATATAGAAACACAACTGAATTTGTATCCTGGAACTTTACTGAATTTGTTTATTCCAACAGTTTTTTAGTAGAGCCTTTAGGATTTTCTATATATAAGATCATGTCATTGGCAAACAGAATTTACTTCTTCCTTTCTGATTTGCATGCCTTTTATTTTATTTTATTTTTTTTTGTTACCTAATTGTTGTGGCTAAGACTTCCAGTCTTATGTTGAGTAACAGTGGTAAGAATGACCACCCATGTCTTGTTCCTGGTCTTGGAGGGAAAGCTTTCAACTTTTTACTACTGAGTATGAGATTATCTGTGGGCTTGTCATGTATAGCTTTTATTCTGTTGAGGTATGTTCCTTCTATACCTAACTTATTGAGAGTCGTAAACATCAAATGATGTTGAATTTTATCAAGTACTTTTTCTGCATGCATTAAGGTGATCATATGGTTTTAATCATTCATTAATGTGGTGTATCACATTTATTGATTTGTGTATGTTGAACTTATCCATGGTATAAGTTCAGCCAGGTATAAATCCTGTTTGGTATGATGGATGTGATTTTTTTAATATGCTGATGAATTTGTTTCGCTGGTATTTCGTTGACGATTTTTGTATCTATATTTGTCAAGGATATTAATCTGTAGTTTTCTCGTAGTACCCTTATCTGGCTTTGGTATCAGGCTAATGCTGGCCTCATAAAATGAGTTTGGGAATGTTCCCTCCTCTTCAGTTTTTTTGAAGAGTTTGAGAAAATTTGGTGTTAATTCTTCTTTTAATGTTTGGTAGAATTCACTAGTGAAACCACCTGGTCCTGGGCTTTTCTTTGTTGGGAGGTTTTCGATTACTGCTTTGCTCTTCTTACATGTTAGTAGTCTGTTCAGATTTTCTATTTCTTCATGATTCAGTCTTGCTATGTTGTATGTTTATGGGAATTTATCAATTTATTATAGGTTATCCAATTTGTTGGTATGTAGTTAGTTGTTCATGGTAATCTCTAATGACGCTTTTTATTTCTCTAGTATCAGTTGCAATGTCTCCTCTTTAATTTCTTATGTTATTTATTGAGTCTTCTCTCTTTTTTCTTAGTTTAGCTAAAGATTTGTCAATTTTGTATATCTCTTCAGAAAACAGCTCTTAGTTTCATTGATCTTTTCTATTTTTCTGGTTTCTATTTCATTTATATCTGCTCTGATCTGTTTTTATTGTTTTTTCTTCCTTTTGCTAACTTTGGGCTTAGTTCTTCTCTTTCTAGATTCTTGAGGTATAAAACTAGGTTGCTTATTGAAATTTTTCTTTTTTTCTTAATGTAGGCATTTATCACTATAATCTTCCTTTTTAGAACTGCATCTCATAAGTTTTGGTATGTTGTGTTTTCATTTTCACTTATCTCAAAATATTTTTTGATTTCCCTTTTGATTTATTCTTCGAACCATCGTTTGTTCAGGAGTATGTTGTTTAATTTCCAGTGTTTGCAAATATTCCAGTTTTCCTCTTGTTCTTGATTTCTGGTTTTATGCTATTGTAGTTGGAAGAGATACTCGATATGCTTT